GCCGAATATTTTGTTTTCTTTTTTTTTACCTCATCGTTTATTAATTGAATAATAATACGTACATCAGAGACACAAAATTATCTCGATTCCAAAAAAAACAACATGAATTATACTTATATCACAAAAGGAATTATACTTTTTTGTTTAACATAATCAACATTTTTTTTTCACATTTGCCCTCCATAATATTTCCTTTAAGTAAATGTCGAATATATTTGTAAAATTGCCTTTTCTTTTTTGTGTAAATATTTTTTTGTTTGCCTCATCAGAGGATTTATTGATTATATATACATGGTTACATTCAAAGATACAATACTACAAATAAAATTTACATAATCGCAAATACATTATTATTGTCATAACAGAGAATTGAAATTAAGTTTTGCTTTGCAAAGCAATTGAATCATAATTAACAAACAAATTATACTGATAGTTTTGATTCCCTTTCTTTTGTTTTTCTTTTTTTTTTCTTTTCTTTTCTTTTCTTAAATAACACCCAACAGTTATTTTGGTAAAAGCTTTCTGTTCATCTATAAGTTTGATTTACTTTCCATTCTTTTTGTAATTTCTCTATAGAGATTTTGTTTAGAAGCAACTTTTCTCTTGTCTATCCCAGTTATATTTCGTTGAACAATCAATTTATAAATGGTCCAAAATGATATTGTAAAGAATAATATACAATGACTTTCACAATCTATTTTGAGTAGGTGTTGGATATTGAGCGTCAGTATCCTTACTTTGTATATATCTCTTAATATTTCTTTGATATGTTTAATGAAGGGCTCAATTAGTTTGCATTCTATAAATGCGTGATTCATATCCTCTTTTATATTACATGTTGGGCATACATCGTCATTGGATATTCCCCATTTGAAAAGATTACTTCTTACTGGCAATAGGTTATACAGTAATTTCAAATTAAACTCTCGTAATTTGCTTTCTCTAATTTGAGCAAGATTACGCTTGAATACCTTAGACCAATCAATATCTACATTAAGTTTTTTTTACCCAATAAAGGCAACATGTGTTAGTTAATACAGTTCTCGAAGGAATGAGTTTATAGAAACGATTGCTACTTATATCAGTAACATGTTTTACCTTATTTGCCACCAACAGATATGGAACATTGTTTTCATGTTCTTGTCTAGTATAATCATGCATAAATTCTGCTTTTAAACTATTGACCCATACAGGAGGTATCGCTCGTTTAAGTCTTGCATAGTCAAACATTGCATTGCATTTTCGTTTGGAATGCACCTGCGATTTAATATATTCTGTTGACCGAAAGCCATCTCTCGTAAAAAGGTCTCCTAAAAATACTAGACCACTGTCATACCAGCCTTTATAAAAGAGCGACTGATTATCATACACCACATGTTTGTTGTGCCAAATAATCTGATCTGAAACTTTAACTAGTTCATGTATAGATACACAAACATCTTTCACTGTAGTGCAGTATCTAATCATTTCCCATGCCTTTAAGATTTCTACGTAAAATGACGGAATTTTCTTTTGAACTAGAATATCATTAAGTGTGGTTATATTATAAGAGCAGTTCGGCAGTAGCTTGATGCTTCCCAATAAGTTAAACCAGTAAGAAAAAAATGTTTTCCATGCTCCATTACTCTCATTGAAAAATCTACCTAACTATTTTTATACCGCCTTTACTGTAGTCTTCAATAAGAGAAACCCTTTTGATTTTTTCTGTTTTCCCACTCCAAATAAATTTGAATATAATGCCTTCTATCAACTTCAAAAAGTTTGGAGGGATGGAATCAACCATGATCAAGTGAGTAACTTGGCTAAGTGCTAGACTTTTCAGTACCGTGACTCTTCCAAAAATGGTTAAGCTTCCTTTTGTCCAGCTATCAAGAATTTTCCTCATTTTTATTAACTTCTGCTCCCAGTCCATCTTTAGAGCTTCATTATTATTAAAATATATGTAGTGACCTAAGTATCTTATAAGTTTGTGGGACCATTTCAGATCATGATTCTCTAAATTCCAACTTCTATCAGTGTCTCCTAGCCATATCATGGCTGTCTTTTCTTTATTTATTCTTGGACCTGCTACTTCGCCAAACTGATTCAGTTCATGTAACATTCCATTTAATGAAGTTTCATCCGGAACAAAAAATAATGTATCGTCGGCATATTGCAACAACTTTAGTTTAAGGTCATACTCGACCATTTCTATTGGTTTAATAATATTATTTTTTCTCACTTTGTTTGCCATGAGCTCGGCAGATAAGATAAGTGCTGACAATGGACGTCCTTGTCGTATGCCTCTTTCAACATCAAAACTTTTGGAAATCCAACCATTAACCAATACCGAACTTGAAATATTTTTATATAGGGCAGAGATCCATTTGCGAAATGACTCACCAAAGTTAAACTTTTCTAGACATGAGTTAAGAAATTGTATATCTAGGACATCGAATGCTTTAGAAAAATCTACTAGCATAATTGCTCCAGTTTGACCATTTTTAGTAAAATATTCAATGATGTCTTTTGTCAACCTTACATTACTGGCTGCCAGACGACCTTTTATATAACCTGTCTGATTTTCATGTACAATTTCCCCAATGACTTTCTGTACCCTTGCAGCTAAAACCGCTGCCATTATTTTATAGTCATAATTGAGCAAAGTGATTGGTCTCCAGTTTTTTAAATCATGAGCATCACCTTTCTTGAATAACAATGTGATGAGCCCTTTCTTTTGTGTGTCTGACATAACTCCTGTTGAATAACACTCATTCAACGCTTCAACCACCAATGTTTTTACCTATGGCCAAAACAACTGATAGAATTCAACAGAGATTCCGTCTGATCCCGGTGTCTTGTTTTTCTGCATTGCAAATACTGCACGTTTACATTCCTCTTCGGTAATTAATCCATCACACAATTCTTTGTTTTCGTTAGATAATGGATTAATGTTTTGAAAACCAATATAATTGCTCATATTCTTGGTATCATGCTTTTCTTCTATATACAAATTGGAATAGTACTTTACAACCTCTTCCCTAATCTCTTCATTTTTGCTAACGATTCGACTATCATTTCCACGTTTTAATTGTGAAATTTCCTTTTTCTTTGCATTACTCTTTTCTAAACCCCAAAAATACTTGGTACTTTTCTCTCCTTCTTCCATCCACCTAATACGAGCTCTGATTCCAGCTCCTCTAGATTCATGTCTATAAATCTTCTCTAACTTCTCCTTTGTGTCGGTGTACTCTTTTTCTATTTCTTTATCAGGTACACTGACATCAATTTGTTTTTCAAGATCACACAATATCTTGTCTAATGAAAATTTATAATTTTTCCTATCGAGTGCTTTTGTTCTACAGAATTGTTGTGAAAATTCACGAATTCTAATCTTGAACATTTCCAACCTTTTTGTAAGGAAGGGTATTCATTTTCACAAAAGGAATAGATAATTTCTGAAACTTTCATTTTGTAATTTACATCATCTAAGATATCGGTATTCATTTTCCAATACCCTGGTCCTCTTTTATTTTGTTTGATACAAAATTTAAGTGTTATAGCATTGTGATCAGTTCTGATGGCAGGACGGATATCAGTACATAATGTTTTTACCTTCATCTGTTTAGATACAAGCCAAAAATCCAATCTCGAAGCTCTCTTGAGAGATATGTTTCTCCATGTGTATTGCTTGATATATAAATGCATTAGTCTCCAGACATCGCATAGAGCATATCTTTTAACAAACTTTTTGAGGTTTACGGGTGTCTTGTAATATCTGTTTTCCGTTCCTCGTACATCATTGTGCATGTCTAGCACACAATTCCAATCACCCCCTAGAATTAATTCACGGTCATGGTTATAATGTTTATTCATTTCAGAATTTAACTTTCGAAAGAAGCCTTCCCTATGTTGCTTTTGGGTGGGCGCATACACATTTATTAGCAATAAATCCATATCATGAACTTTGGCTTTTAGCATCAAAAGTTGACCATTTAGCATACATTTTACTGCAATAGTTTGTACATTTAATTTGAGACTCCTCATGAGTGATTGGTTCCATGAGCAAAAAAACATAGACCATGCCATTCACTTCTTACAATTGTTTCTAGACCAGTAAGTTTCTTGAAGGAAGAGAATGTCTGATTTCTGATGTCTAAACCATCGAAATATTTGGTTTCTTTTTATTTCTCAAACCTCGTATATTTAAACTAATAACATGACATTTTACCATTATAGAAAATATAAGAGATAAACAAAATTACTACACACGATACTCATCGTAGATCTGCTCTATTTCTTCTTTGGTGTTTTTTTCGATGTCTTTGGCTTTGGTGGTTTTTTCGATGTATTTGGCTTTGGGTTTTTTTCTGTCACGTTCTTTCCTTTCAGGGGATGTTTCAATAGCTCTGGTGATTCGTCTGGCATTTCTGACACATCGTCCACTCCTTCTTCATCGCTCAATAATTATGATACCTCGCTTGACGTGTCTATTTTGCCTATATAAAAACATAAGAAGCTGAATTAATGTATAGATTTTTAAGAACTACATATTTTTAATTTATATAATCACATTGATTACCTACCACTATATCAATGTATTCATTTTTGTCATTATCAAACAATACTTCTGTTTTTGGAGAAAAAATAAGACCTTGTTCCAAAATATTTGTGAGTACTCACAGTCATAAAATAAATGATAATAGTTTCTGTGCATTTGCTCTTCAAACAACAATCATGATCAGATCTTTTGAAACGATATAGATATTCTGCATAGGCTAATTAATTATAGATTTGTTTGAAATTAAAATGTTTTTTTTTTCTTTTCATTTTGATATGCCCCTACCTAGTAATTGGCGATTTCGTTATCATAGTTTTGTATTGAAGTGTTTTTGTCTTAAGCTTATTTCCTCTGTCGCCGAACATAATAGTCTCTCTAAAATATGTACAGTTTATGCGTTCGTGAATGTGGGTGCGTGTTAGCTGTTAACTGTCCCCACATGGCTTACTTTTTATTGACGTTAATTACAGTTACCGATTAAACCTCCCAATTCAGCTGCTCTCAGAACGTCATGTAAATCAGCCACACTACGGGTTGATCTATCCGTCCATTTCGCAAGGCATTCCCTCGTTGCCTCCTCATAGTTGCTTTGGTACTTTGTCAAGATATTTCTGGCCTGGTTGTGCTTGACTACAAGCTTTTCGCTAAACTGGTCGTAGGCGTAGGATGGAACTTCCTTTGCCACGTCATTTAGCATTTCGTCGCTCACTTTCCTATTCAAATAAATAAAAGAATATACATGAGTAAAGAAATCAAGATCGTAACGTTATAAAACCTTCGTCTTGTGACGGGACTGTGTTCACAACATTCAGTTTCAATGCAACTACTTTTATTATTGTGTTTATTTTTGGTGCAATTTTACCATGTATTATTTCCTTTATAAAAAGGGCAGCTTAGTAGCAATTTCAAATCCATATTGTATTCACTATATAAATTGTTATGTACTCTTAATTAAAAGTTCTTAGATTATAATCTTTGTAATCCGATGAAAGTGTATTTCACACGACGGCAATCCAAACGATGAATAATATCGTATACCAGTTATATTACAACAGAATAGATTTAGTCTCCAATCAACATTCCCACAAACAGAGTACCCTTTTATGTACATTGAAACTGTCAATAAAACGACTATATTAATTTTTTTTAAAATAATTGAATAAGAGTAAATTTGGATTTATACTAATATGAATAATAATATGATACAAGTGAAATAAATGTATCCATGTCTTTGACGGAGAGATCATCCTCATAAAAGGTTGGTTGTAATAAAAGCAGAAAATGAGAGAAAAAGGGGTAGAAGTTTGAATAATATCTGATTTAAAAAAAAATAGGAAAGTTATGAGTTGCTAAAGTTCACACCGGTGAAGCACAAATTGGCAACACTGTGACGTATTTTGCGCGGTCCTCTCCTATTTTCTCTGAACAGAACATTTCATTTCCATTCATTTTGTTTACTTATCGATGATGGAACAAAGTTATTTCATACAGGGGTTCCTTGAAAACCTATATGCAATAATTGTATTTAGAGTAAATGTATGATCGAAAATTGGCTTTAGGTAAAATATATTGAGTTTGTTAGTAAAGGGCAAACGGGAGGGGAGCTCGCAAGATACGTCACAATGGTACCAATTTATCTTTGGTTGATCGCACCTTCCAAAATTCCAAACTTTCTTATTTTCAATCGTTTTTTCTCAAACTTTTACTGACCTATTTACTTCCCCTTTTACAGTCAGACCGCAGCCGGTGCGAAAACCCTCTATTTTATTCAGCACGTATGCAAGAATTTACGTGTCTTGCATACGTAAATTAGTAGTGCAGACGCCAGACGGTCTTCCCGATCGGCAGTTTTTGCCTTTATAATTGTTCATTTCTCATGAAATGGGTCTTATTTTAAAGATAAGAAGTTGCACTCTCCATATACTTATATGACAATCATGTTAAATATATTTTGGAAAAAGATATTTCGCCTTGAAAATGGGATTTTTCGACGATAAATCTATTTAATGAGTAGGGCTGATTTTCACATAGAAATCATGCTTTCGTCAAGAAGATGTTATAATCAGCATAAAGCATCAATATTTTTCTTTACAATGATATCAAAATTATTATATTTTACGCTGTACCAAAGTCAGGAACCAAGACAAATCACGCGAATGTTTCATGAATAATTAAAAAAAAAGTAGTCAACTTTGCCGATGTGGTAATAGAGAGTTCTGATTGGTCAAATACGTCAACTACGTCACATATGCTCCGCTTTGGTTCATTAACATTCTGAATCCACATTTTAATAGCTTGCCTTGTGGCGTGCGCCGGTAATCCACGTGTGCGCAAGGAGTCATGACAACAATCTAAAGAGCCCGGATCAAATACATCATTTGCTTTTTAGATCATTATTTTCTACGATTTTTCTTTTTTAATCATTTTTCTTATTTTTTTCGGCCAGTCGGTGGCGCGGCGGAGCTCCCTGGAGTTTAACAATCAGTTATGCATTGCCATTGTTCAGACGGCGAGCGTGCACGAGTATGAAATCACACAATTTCGCGCCATCATAGAAAGAACAAATTCGTAATTTCCGGGTTTTTAGGGTCTTAATTACTATGAATATAAAGAGAACATGATTTTGCGTCAATTAGGTTTTGACATTATTTTGATCAGTGACTTTTTATCTTTCCAACGAATCTCGAATTAAACAAATTAATTATGTACCAAAGTCAGGAACCAAAAGCGAAATTCCGGGTACAAAATAGCTGTTGAAATGTTACAAAAATAACGACAATAAAAGTGGTGAAAAAGGATTGTTTCAAAATTGTGAAATATGGCAAGTTTCATATCAAACTGAAGCTGAAAATCTCGAGAGTAATTACCGTTGCGTGCTGCCATTTTGACTAAAGTTATCGACCCCAAAAGCAGCTGCGTGTACACCCTTACAAATCTCACTGAAAATCTCGTGAATTTCAGCGCACGTGAATGTACGAGAATACCAAAGGGACGCTGAATAAAAATCAGCGTACAGCCTCATTATCGCGCACGCTGCGGTCTGACTGTTTAGTCCAGAATCGGAATTCAATCCTGTGACCGGGGTAATGATACTGGAAGCACTAAGGTATGTTACGTTTTATCTAGTAGGAAGTTACTAGAAACAGTTAAAATGTATCGTCATCCATAACCGTAATAAATTTGGAGATGGGCAATTGTAAATAATGGTAACATTTTAATACAAGGTACTACAACGAAATTGTAATAATGTAACAGTTGCTTGCACATTCTGAATAGTACAGAAGAAATGGGAGGGGGCCTCGCAAAATTAGTCACAGAGCTGCCAATTTTGGTTTGATCCATCGCACCTTCAACAAATCATAACTTTTTTTCGATTTTTGCTCACACTTTCACCGACCTGGTTCGCTCATTTATTTACTTCTGTTAAAACCAAATTCATATCAGGGAAGATTTACCCTTTTTTCCTAAAATGGCCGGTGTCATGTGGTCAACACAAAATAACTATGTTCCATATACACCTGGAAATAGACGATGTGATTTCGTCGAATTCTTACAAATCCTAATCTGTTTCATGCTTTTCCCTTCGGTCATTTGTCGTAACGGGGATATGCCAATATTCCTTCCAGTACAAATCAGAATTTTACCTTTGGTTCCTCCCTGGCCCACTGTGCGGCGCCCCCGGCGGTGACTCGACATCTGTTGTTTTGTTGATCTCGAAAAGGGCGCCCTCACAGGCATCGCGGAGTTTTTCGTTTATATGACGGGAACCCTCGCTCAGATCTTGTTTGGTAATAAAAGAAAATATTATATCGTCAGTTCGTAGCCACTAGGGCATTAACATATGATCTTAAACACATAGTAACGCCCTTCTATATCTGAACACAAGACATGCTTCTTCTCTTAAAATGGAGGTAAGAAACTATTCGCCTCGTGTGGGCCTAGAACGTCACTGCACAACGTGTTATGTTATTAATGCCCAAGGTGGGAATATTCAATCTTAAAACTCCTTTTCATAAACGGATTTTGTTCTTTACTCCCTCCCCTTTCACCTTTGCTATACAAATCGAAGTAGCTAGCCAAATTGTTTAGGGGCTACCCCCCCCCCCTCCCTACATTTCTTACACCTATGATATCAAATTAAGCAAAAACATATATCCATTATTATTATCTATAATCGTTATCAGGACTCCTCGTGTATTAATGATAACAATGGGGCTAAAATACCATACGTTTTACGTATGAAGTTGTTTAAATCTCCCTCCCATATTATCATGATTATGAAAAATGTAAATAATGTTTACGTACTGTAGATAATATCACGTTCTTTCCGCAGTTTTTCTTTATTTTCCTTGAGAAAGGCTAGTCTCCAGACCACGTTGGCGGCAGAAGTCTTCTCCTCCACGGAACAATCTCGTTGGAGCAGTTTAGCGAGGATAGGAATGACTCCGTGTTCTACTACGAGCTGTTTGTTGTTGTCATTGATTGTTAGGTCATCTATAGCTTGAGCTAACTCGCCTGCACTAGAAGTAATCGTGGTCACAATCTTCTCGATGGATGTTTTTCGATCTGTCTTTTTCTCATGTTCAGGATTTTCGAGACATCCCTTCAAATCCGAAAGTAGTGTTAGGATACAGATGTAGTCGGTGGAAAGCTTGTCTGCCTCTTCTTTCTTCACCAGCTTTGCCAATATCATGACTGCTTTTGTCTGAGTCATGCTATCTTTTGACTCGCTAAACTTCTGGAAGGCAGGCACGGCCCGGTGGTGCTTAGGAGCCAGAGACGGCACTTTTCTGCAGACATTGTCAAACATGTTCATTGCATCAAACATCATGTCATCTACCCATTTGTTCATTGCCTTATCATCCCTCACGAGGTGTAAAAACCAATCCACAATCAAAGACAGGCACCCATCTTCTTCCATTTGTAAACGGAAGTAATCAGACTGGTCCGTAAAGTTCATGGCGGAACCAAGCAGTTCGATATAAAATGTAAACATTCGTGTGGTCTCATGTGATAGGTCTTTTTGTGGATCAGCGTCCTCAATCTTCTGTAACATATCTCTTTTTTTCCACGTATACGTAAACATTTTGCAGTAGTCTGTGTCAATGCCCAAGCCATCCCCTACAGCGTTCCGATCAATTTTACTGTTACGAGAAACTGTGACGATATCGTTTATACTTTTAAGACACGAGGTACATGGGAAACCTTCACAACCCTGAATGTGCTTGATACCGGCTTTGAGAAGGGTAAGACATTTTTTGACCTCGTCACTGAATTCTACGATCCGTTTTGTTTTAGCTGCTGCAGAGTCAGCGGGAATTAAATCTGAAGGGTCAGTCAATATCCTCACAACGTTGGAACTGCAAACACGTGCCATGTTTATGACGAACCATCAGACGCTGTCAACAAAAAAAAACAGTTAATCAAAATGTTAACATGATTGGTAAACATGATGGTTGATAACAAAATAGGAATTTAGTGATAACATAACATGCATATCCACAATACATACATATTCCATTTGAGGCATATTTACATCAGCATAATTACATTTTCCTGTTCACAATCTTCATTATCATAACATCATCACCATCATCTCCGCCATCAACACCATCACAATCACCATTTTTCCTGTTTGTGTTAATCACCCCCCCCCCCTCCATCCCATTTTTCTTCAGCAGCTGCAGAGTCAAGGGGTGGTATTCTGAACATTGTTGTAAGTTTTGTGTTATCTTTTGTTGTATCTCCCAGAGATAACACAGCGCTAATATTGTTGTAAATTGGTATGATGAACATCATTCTATCCCTGTGTTATCTCTTGAAGGACCGCCTCTATCTTATCTTTGACCACTGTTGACACGCCCATTTGTATGGACCCTACCAATCGAAATCTGTTTTATATAAGCATGATAAGTAGGTCGACCAATAGGAATACTTTAGGCCATATCTGAAGATGGGCCTAGCGCATACTAATCTTGGGCGTAATTAGTTATTTGAGCGCTTATTACGCGCGTCATCATATGCGCTGTGGCATGTGGAGACATGAAGACAAATCACGCTTTCACTATATTAGTTAAGATGAAAGCATTAAAATCGTCATATCCTAGCATGTAATTTCTTAGAAAGTTCCCATCTGTGATGTTTCCGGTCAACACACAATCTACTTCTAACTCGTTTATTGGCACGTAGTTGGTTCTGTGCAAGAAATATTGCCGCCATTATATAACCACGAAAGATACAACAACCCCTACCTGTTGTAAATATTGTTGTAAATACCAAGCAAGATAAGATAAGATAAAAGATACAACAATTTTCAGAATACCAATTATCTTGTCATATTATCACTCGTGCGTATATGCAAATGAGGATTAAGCGCCATTTTATTACTAATAAGCACAATTACAAGCGCACCAAAGTTTGAACACAGGCGCGGCCAAACAGATGTGAGAAAAGATACAACAATGTTCAGAATACCAACTTAAATACCTCCAGTAATAGGTAAACGTGATCAAATATACACCAATGGGAATCGGGCTTGCAGATTAAAGCCTACACAAGTTACTCATATAAATATCATGTCTCATATGTCAAATTGCTGTTTAACCTAATGGAGAAATGAATATGGTTTAGAAAATACGTAGACTGATGTACAGTGGCGGATCCAGGGGGCTCGGGGGCCCGCCCCCTTACAAAAATAGAAGGAAAAAAAGGGGAAAGATTTTATTTTATTTTATTTTTTTGCCTGAAACCTCTTGACTTCCGGTGGCTTTGTCCCCTGGACCCCATCTAGGGCCCTAAGGCGGACGGCTGGATGCTAATCTGACGGTAATTTAATGCTTAAAACTCCTGAGCTCCTGGGGGTTCCGGCCCCCGTACCTCAAGCCAATTAGTGTCTTGCCAGTCTCACAAATAAGGTATCAAAATATGTTCATCTTACCGTAATTAAATGTCTAAAACCCTGAGCTTCCGGGGCTCTGCCCCCTGATCCCAACCATTGCCCTAAGGCGGACCCCAGGGTGCTCATCTGACCGTAATATATTGCCTAACATCCCTGAGCCTCCGGGGGCTCAACCTCGTGGACCCCACGCTAATTCGTGACCGAAGAGTGTCACAAATAAGGTAAAAATATATGCTCATCTGACAATAAGTTAATGTATAAAACCCCCGAGCTTCTGGGGGCTCCACCCCTTAGACCAGACTGTTTCCTGCCATTGTCACAAATAAGGTATTAAAATATGCTCATCTGACTGTAATTTTTTTCCAAAACCCTCTAAGCTTCTGGGGGCTCCGCCCCCTGGACCCCAGTCAAATTAGTGAACTGAAAGTGTCACAAATATGGTATAACAATATTTTCATCTTGCGATAATTCAATGTATAAAACCCCTGAGTTTCTGGGGGCTCCGCCCCCTCGACCCTACATCAATGTGTATCTTTCGAGTGTCACAAATAAGGTATTAAAATATGGTCACCTGACCGTAATGTATTGCCTAAAACCACTGTGCTTCCGGGGGCTCCGCCCCTGGACCTCACGCAAATTCGTGACCTGCCAGTGTCACAAATAAGGTATAAAAATATGCTCATCTGACGACAATTTAATGTATAAAACCCCTGGGCTTCCGGGGGCTTCGTCCCCTAGACCCAACACCAATATGTGTCCTGTTAGCGTCACAAATAAGGTGTAAAATATGCTCATCTGACGATAATTTAATGTATAAAACCCCTGAGCTTCTAGTGGCTTCGCCCCCTGGACCCAACACCAATGTGTGTCCTGCCAGTGTCACAAATAAGGTATCAAAATATGCTCATCTGACCGTAATGTATTGCCTTAAACCCCTGAGCTTCCGGGGGCTTCGCCCCCTTTACCCCACGTCAATTCGTGACGTGCTAGTGTCACAAATAAGGTATTAAAATATGCTCATGTGACGTTACTTTAATGTATAAGACCTCTGGGCTTCTGGGGGCTCCGCCCCCTGGACCCCACACCAATTTGTGTCCGACCACTGTCACAAATAAGGTATCAAAATATGCTCATCTGACCGTAATGTATTGCATAAAACCCCTGGGCTTCCGGGGGCTTCGCCCCCTTGGCCCCACGTCAAATCGTGACCTACCAGTGTCACAAATAAGGTATCCAAGTATCAATTCAATTCAATATACAAATTGAATGTTAACGGTCGGCCCTTTTTTTGGTTTGATTCTCTTAAATCCCATCTGTACTAGTGTACAGGAGGGATTGGACCAACCTGCAATGTCACTGGACAGGTGGTTATCTCATCAACTCAGCTCTCAAATAACATTTTAAAAAAGAGGATCATTGGGGACCAATGGTCACCGATTAGGCATTGTTTGTTATATAGAGGGCGCAAGTAGCTATAAGTAGTGCAGTGGGGCATTAATATACGTAGCATACCTAGTAAGTTTTGTTTATCTCGCTATTTGATTTGATAATAAATTTACCTTGAAAAGGGCCTCATGTACAAGCACATGATGATTCTCTGAGGTCCTGGCGTATTATTAATTCTGTTTTTTATGAATTGTTATGTTTTTGTATGATACCAAATAAACTTGTTGATCATAAAATTTAATTTAGAGGAATACAACGAATATTAATTTGTTCTGACTACTGAGATGTTGTCAGAGGCAATGTTTCTTTAGGCTTTTTTTTTTCTCTCTCTCTCTCTCTCTCTTTTTCCCCTTGTCTCAGTATCTATCTTTCTCTTTCTCCCTCTCTCCTCCCTCTCTTTATCTTACTCTCTCTCTCTCTCTCTCTCTCTCTCTCTTCTATACACATTATTGATAGTTCCCTGGGACTTGTGTGGGCTATGTTGATCCCTGGATCATCTGAGGTGACCTCTGCTCCCGGATGAGGAAAGAAAGATCACGAGATAAAATAACCGGAAATAACACCCACCTCGTATTCGGCCAAGGCATACATTGCAAAAATATTGTTCAAGTACAGTAGTAGTAGTAGTAGTAGTAGTAGCAACAGTAGTAGAAGTAGTAGTAGTAGTAGTAGTAGTAGTAGTAGTAGTAGTAGTAGTAGTAGAATGGTTATTTAGAACAGCTGCAAATTGGTAGCCCGTGAGTTAAATTACATTGCAATTTTGTACAAGCTCAGATTTAAAAACTTTTCAAAAAAACCTAGATATGGACAAGTACAAATAATACACAGTACAATAGGTTGCAATTTATTACATATTCCTTATTTACAAACAAATTGAAAGGTATAGTTGAGTTCTTGTTGCAGACCGCAAATGCTTACAAAGTGCATGGTTATTGCTCTTTTTCTTATTTATGACATTTCTAGTACTCGTCTAGGACATACAATATGTGAAATATAGCCAATACGATTATACAAATTCAGCTCTACGTTCAACAAATAATTAATTAATATTAACACTACATGGGCCGGCTGATTATGCGTATTATAACCTACACGAAAATGCCAACGAAAAGCCAACATCGGCATTGACTGGAGAAAAAAAAAACGTATTAGGCAATATTTCGTTTTTTTCAACGGATGGTTCAAACTATCTAATATTTGTGTATGTACACAAATATTATATATCATTATATTAATGGATAATTCAACCGTCTCTGAACTGGTTTTGATCAATAAAAGATGATTTTATCATTTAAATTGTATGTTCTTTGACATTCGACTCTCAGATTTTCATTATCTCACAAGCAAATAATTGTGCGTAGCACCCTATGCTACCGAACTCAACTATCCCTTGAAGTTACAAACATAACAAATTCGTCATTATTAATATAAAAAAAAAAATATTGGGAAGTGAGGAATATTCATATTTTAAATTTTAATTGAGGCTGATTAATTGGGTTTATGACGATTAGATATTTTGAATTCGCACCATAATATAATGCACATTAAATGCCTTTTCGCAGTGCTACTCGATAAAGTAATTCAACACAGTCACACAAAATATATGAGGATTTATCATATATAATCATAAAGAGACAAAACTGACAACAACAAAAAGTGTCAGAGAGAGAACAATTTGAATAAAAAAAAGTTGAAGATGGAAAGAAGAAAAAGGAAGAAATGTAGAAGAGGAGAGAGACACAAGCACACACAACCAACATCGAGGTGAAATTTGATTGTTTGTTTGGTTTCATTTGTGTGTCCTTTTTTTAGTTTAATTTTCATATTGTTTTTGTTTATTGTTGGTTTGGTTTGTTCTGTTTTCGCTTGACCTGGAAGTTTCGGACGTCAGTTGTGCTGCTCATGTCTTTAACCCCCAGCTCCCCTCTTGTAAATGGTTACATAATATGCACTAGGGTAAATGAACACTTTAAACTGTTTCTTTTTCACATGCGAATGTACGTACTTGATCTGTTAAAAACAATTCGTGATTTTAATTCCTTGATGCTTTCGAATAAATTCATCAGGAGGTTTGTGGAGGCAGAATATCGCATGTTTTCCTCTTATAGTATGACAAAGTAAAACTAGGCCGAATACGAGCTGGGTGTTATTTCCTGTTATTTTTAACTCTCATGATCTTTCTGTCCCCGTCCTGGAGCAAAGGTCATCTCAGACGATATCAATATACTCTACAAAAGTCCCAGAGAAATATTAAAAAGCTATATATAAAAAGAGAGAGAGGGGAGGGGAAGAGAAATATAGAAGGATAGGGGTGGAGAAGTGGTAGGAGGAGAGAGGAAAATATAGATAGATTGAGAGAGGGTCACAGAGAGAGAAGACAAAATTAACGCAACATATATGATATTCATGGAATTACGAATTAGTTCTAAACATATCATCGAAAAATACTCGGGAATCCCTTTGTGATACTTAAACATGAAAACTGATTATATCTCCCATTGCAGACCAACAAATGAAAGATTAAATTCCAACGGCATTTGAAAGATGATACTAATTCAATACTTCCATCAAAAAAGAAGGACTTGAAACTTATCGATTGCGTTCGTTTAATTATATAGTCTAATTTCCAGACCCTTGTACCGAATTGTCGTACATGTTGTGCTGCGCGTAAAATCAAGCGTATCTTTTTTAATTGATCGTAACTTTACGCTTTATTTCTATCAAGCGTAAATTTATGATCAAAGATGGCATCCATACTGCTACTTCTGCAGGAAGAAGTTAGTAGGCAACTACAAAGGGAAAAAATCTTCCGAGACGTAGTAGGCCCGACAATCTAGAGAGAATACAGATTCACAAGGGCTGGCCTACTCATTGTCGTTGATCAAACAAATTAAATGAGGGAAGTTATTATAAAAATATGTTTTTTTCACTTGTTATGATAATTTGAGAAAAAAAAAACTTGTTAGTTAAATGATATCACTTGAAGCTACAACTGCTTAATCTTTTTCCATAGAACTGTGTACAAGTTTGTTAAAATAAAGCTATTTTTTTAATTTAATATAATTATTCTGCAATTCTTTTCACATAACTTCACATTATGCAATACCCATGTCATTCAAAAATCAATCTATCTTGCTTCTCTCCTTTTAAACAAGCCATCTTCATTGGAATTCACAGTGTCTATCTTCATTGGAATTCAGGGCCTGAATTCCAATGAAGATAGACACCTCTCCTGCATTGTACATGGAAATATCCGTCCACTGATCTCCGCACAAAGTACCCCAAATTGTACCCACTGAAAGCTCACGCTTACAATAAACCAAAACCATCCTGAAATGATGACAGTATTTAAAAGATCAATTCATTAGTAAATCAAGTGTGGATTTTAATTCATGTGTCCCCATGATTGTTAGGGTTTACATAAACAGAGGGGGTGGCAGCTTGTGACATGGAACCATTCGAGCCATTGAGGTTCTTTTGGCACAAAGTTCCTTATAAAATTAACAAGCTGAAACATATCCTAATACCAGTCACATAAATCATTACTTCACTGAGTGTTTGTTTCAATTTTTCTCCATCATGACTGGTTGAGTTTTGTGCAGAATTGCTACAATCCATTGATTGAGAATGTAATTGCGAGTAGTCGAAACCAGGAGGGTCACAAACTCCCTCTCTACATCCACTGTCACATCTTGGTTCCTGAAGACCCTTGTGGTTTGAGATGAACTTGAGAGAGGTCTAGACACTGTTTGGGCTCTCGCACATTTATTGCAGGAGTTGCTGTTTTTATACTTAGGTTCCAATAAAACTGAAAGTTTCGGTTCTAAATGTATTAAACCCGACACTCAACAGCCAACTCCGGATAACAGCATCGGATGGCAGTAGGGACTGATGCAGAAATACCAGGCACTAGACCGGGCGCTACAGGCAGCTTTCGCTTTCGATCCGTGCTTACTTCAGGCCGCCGCATGAAACTGATCAATCACTAGCACGCGAGCTAATCGATCTTTGTTTAACCACCGGAAAAGTATACCCCCAAAAAAGGACATAATCACCAGTTGTGAATTTTATTGTCCGTATTAGGGAATATATATGACTTGTACCTACGGGATTTCTACGAAAAACCATTTCAAGCACCTAAGTTGGATTCATTGTCGCAGATAATGGCAGACGACAGTGAGGCAGAATAGAGCTATCTTAAAATTGTTTTGTATAATATATTGGTTTTATATATGATTTATGGGTAAAAATGTGAGGTGTATTATTTGCATAAATTTGAAAATGAGTGATTTTTTCAACAAACAAAATTACAATAGTAATCTAAACACTTCACTTGACATGCAAGCACATTTTCCGGCGATCGGGCGTTCAAAGGCCGAGATCATGGGGGGGGGGGGGGGGCTTTAGATTTCCCCCTTTCCATCCATATACACTTTTCCCCCAGAATGATATATATTTTATTCGGCAGCCATTTCAAAAGTGTTTAGTTTTTCCGGGCGCACGGGTATATGTATCTCAATGTAATTCAGGGAATAAGTGCAAACGTCTGAAGTTTTATTTTGTATTTCAGATTTCACTCATATCTAGCTACTGCAAATATAAACATACTGCAACAATGTCTGATTCGGGTTTTTGGGAGCTCAGCTCTTTCTAGAAACTGATTTTTGGGGGACTTTTGTCCCCTTGTATATGTTGTATAATAAGGCCTTTTATCAATTGTGACTATAAAATTGAGCAAAGATGTAAACGATTAATAATGATTTTAACGGGAAGTTCTTTGCAGCAGAATTGAAATTTCAGCTACAGATAATGTTATCATTGTAAAGCGGTCGAACAGAGGAAAAGAGACCCCAAAAAATTCTCAGTATATCATGTACATTATGATACTTTGAATATGACTATTAAACCTGAGATTACCATGCAACGATCACGTAATGTATAATAATAATAATAATAATAATAGCCTAATAGTCCACTCCAAATTTTATTAAACCGAAACGGAAATTCTTTTTGCCCAATGTGTAACTATAATTGAAGGCAATAACAATTGTGTCAATATTCCATGATAACTATTCCCAGCTTTTTTTGCCTTTATAAAGACCTATACATGACATTAAATTACAAGTTTGTGCGAATTGCCCAACATTGCCCGAATGTGGAAATTGTTCTCTAACGACATGATATCACGAATAATCACCATGATCACTATTTGCAATGTCAACTTTCCTACTAGGGATTTTGGGGAATCGCTTCAAACAAGATGATGTTATTTACGTTACCAGAGCCAAAATGCCTTATCCTTGCCCAGATATAGACATATTATACTTAAGACATGCTAGTGTGGGTATATTTCACCTTCTCATCGTTCTCACAATACTAATAACTTTTAGTGAAATTGATAAATATATAGACTAATTATTAGGGTTTCTGCAATAAAAACATGGATTGTATGAAACTCTATTCTGATGAGCTTATATAGTTGCTATCGTTTGGATCAACTCAATTTAGAGGTAACGAGTCAAAAAATATATTATACTCACCGTTTGCCTAGATACTGCTCAATGCGAAATGAATTGTGGAACGAGGCGTTAAGTTCTCTCCTCAGAAATGATCTAGAAACTCAATCTAATACAGATTCCCTTTGCACAAATGTTCTTCGTTTTATCGGATTTTCATGTAGAAGTGACGGATAACCCGTTTGAAACGGAAGATATACACTGCGTGAGTCTATATTTCAATGTCTGGTGACGTGGCATTGAGCAAATACTTAATGCTAGTCAGTTTGATCATGTGGTCCAAAAACGAAACCGGAAGGAAATACGTATAACTAGAGCTAACCAACCAAACAAAAGAATACATATCTCTCGCTCAGTGAGTCGGTACTAATAGACATTGTGACGACAACAAGTTTAAGTTTAGATTTAGGGGTTCGCTGCTCGAAAAGACACCCCCCCCCCCCTCCACACACACTCTCTATCTCTCATTCTCTCTCTCTCTCTCTCTGTCTTTCTCTCTCTCCCTCTATCTCTATATCTCTCTCTCTCTCTATATATATATATATATATATATATATATATATTTATATATATATATATATATATATATTTATATATATATATATATATATATATATATACATATATATATATCAATAGGAAATTACAGTAGGCAGGTTTTTTGGTATATCTAACTACTATATTATTATAATAATCTTCAATCCAACACTCACTCACCCAAGCCTAGATATCCATATGTGGCACAAAAGTATACCACAGCTACATGCCATGTATATAAGTTTTTTCCATAGGACACACACCCACACAAGCCCCCATATTATGTCCCTCACAAAAATAATATACATATATACCAAGGCTACAAACCATATAAACATATTATTTCCTTGGAACACACACCCACCCAAGTCCAGATATCCATCTCTGGCACAAATGTATACTTATATACACAACTACATGCCATATACTGCTACCGCTCACGATGCGTTCTAAAATACCTAATTTAATTTACTATATATATCTTATCTTATTTGCCTGCCTCGTACATGTTAACATTTTGATATAATGCTACATTATTTTCCATTTAATTCCTTTTTAAAACTTTTTTTTCATTATATTTGTTATTGTTCAAATTGTTGTACTTTGAATTTTAATTTGTATCTTTTTGAACGCAGAAATATAATAAATCAAACAAACAAATATATATCAGGAATTTTCATCGGAAACACACCCACACAAGCCCACATATATGTCCCTCACAAAAATGTATATAAATAATTATACCAAGGCTACATTTGTTATTTCCTTAGAACACACCCACCCAAGTCCAGATATCCATCTCTGGCACAAATGTATAGATAGCACAGCTACATACCATATAATATATACATGTTATTTCCTTAAAGGGATCGTTTAACAAAGTTAAATCTGAGATACACGACCCTACGTGTTATCAATGCCTGTGATATGGTGCTATATTGAAGCCCTAACAAATTGCGCTTCAAAATGATCAAGAAGTGCCTCAAAAACAAAAACAAAATGAGTGACCGGTTTTACCATACTCGTTTTCCCCAATAGACTGTAGTGTTGTGAAAACCGTTTGGCAAACGGTTTTTAAAATTTGTAATTCCAATCATAAATATCTTGATAATCAGACAGGCGAACGGCTTGTAAAATTTATGGGTTTCCTGGCTGACCTAAAGGTTTATAATTATAATTGCAGCATTAACTAAATCCAGAATTTTGTTTCAGAATCTGAGACAAAGTTACCGGATCCCTTTAAAACACGCACCCATCCAAGCCCACATATGCATCCCTCACTCAAATGTATGTAAACACATACCACGGCTACATCGTTTTACAGAAAGGTGTTAATATGTTTAAAAATTATGTGAGCTAATGCCCTTCTGTCTCAAATGTTTACTCTCCTATTAACAAACCATGGAAGTACGATAACATGAGAAATTGACGATATATACCACGGCTAAATTCCTCAACACGGATATGAAACCCTTTTCGCACAAACACAGTATACAAATCCATAAGTCCAACCCTATAGGAATTAGTTCCATAGTTTCAAATGGAAATTAATAAATCATTCTCCAGCCTTAGATCGCATCACCACCTTGGAAGTTCACTGGTAGATGCTCCTTGAAGTGGATTACTGGAGATGAAAGTCGTCCAAAGCAGCTTTAGGTATACTTTAATCTGCTGATGTAGGAATGGGGTTCTTCGAAGGTGATGCTGTTTTGGTTCAGGTCTTCTGGCATGTTGGATCTCGTCTCGACTTAGGCAAGGTAAAGAGAAAAAGGTAACTGACATGCTCTTCCACACTAGATGGGACCACCACAGGCGTTAATGCTCCTGTGCAGAGAGAAACTCAAAAATAACACCTCCCCCCCCCCCCCCCTCCATCCCCGCGACTACACCTTGTACTCTGACTTTGGTGTTAGAGAGCCCTGGTTGGGATGTTGTCCGCCTCCTCCGGGTGCCCCAACCACTTTTTCACCGACCTCTCCGTTCTTGTCCTGCCATTTATCTTGGCTCCACCTCCTGGCATTTATGAAGAAGTTACTGACAGTGCCGAGCTAAAGACCCAACTGCTGGGCGATGGTGATCTGCATCTTCTTCGAAGGGCGCTTGTTTTTTGTGAAGATGGGATGGAGGATGCGACGATGGACGTCGCTGAAGACCATGTACGGTTTCGTGATGTGGCTGTGCTGCTAGGGGCTCTTGCCATCGTCTTCCTTTTTCTTGCAGGCTGTAGCGCAAAGATACAAAAGAGAGAGATACAAATCATTAGCATTGAAGAACAAAATCTAAAGAAAAATATTTAAAAATAGTGAACTAGTACTCTCTCAAAACTAAGAGAGAGAGAGAGAGAGAGAGAAAAAAAGAGATACGGAGAACTTTGAAAATATGACAAAAATGAGCATATGCAATTTTCTGTCCTAAATTGTCATTTGAGTGATAGTGATCCCCGCCAACACAAAAGGTTCCCATGATTACTAATTAGAACACCTTTGTAGCTACAAAGTACTTTACAAACCATATACAAATGTTATTACTTAGAATGTATTCATCATTTAATCAATTTTATTCATAAACACTATCTGCAATAGAAAACCATACAAATAATATATTATATACAACTATTAATCATTAGGTTGTATTTTTTACGGACATCTTTGTAAACACGGAAAGGTGTGAAGGGGGACACTCTTTATAGCTCTCTCTCTAACAACGTAACAACACAACATGAAATGATTATATTCAAACCTGATCTTATTCACAGTTTTACTATTCCCCTCTCTCTCTCTCGCTCTTTCTTTCTCTCTCTCTATCTCTCTCCCTCTTTCTCTTTCTCTCTGTCTCTCTGTCTCTCTCTCTCTCTCTCTCTCTCTCTCTCTCTCAGTGATTGATGCTTTTGCCGGCGTTATTTCATGAAATATATTATGATCCTTTAATTTTTTCTCGCAAGTCGCGACATCATTATAATTAAAGACGAAATGTTTAGTGAACTCACAAATCGCTTATGATCAAAACGGTAATTAAAATAGTTACTTAATTAGTCAAAGGAGTTGTGCGTTGGTCTAGCTGTTTTGTCCGTGGTTCGGTCAGCTCTCTGAATTCAAATACAAACCGACTCAGCGGACCCCGGTTCGAGACCGAGTTGCGTCTTTCGGATGGTGACGTTTGGGTCGACCTCAGACGTAAATAATATCTGATTGATACACGTCAGTTAATGCCCAAATAAACGCACACGAACACACACACACACACTCACCTCGGGGTCTGGGTACCTCTTTGAGAAAGTTGTCACTCAGCTCTACAAGATTGGCCTCGGTGAGGGCTTCTTTGAGCTTCTGATGCTGATCGCTGGGGGAGAACTTCTGTCGCCAGTCCAGAAGCATATCTCGGGTACCTTTAAAGGTAACCCGATCCCCTCTCCTATTCGTTTCTGTGTATCTGTTCAATGCTGCCGTAGAAAAACCCAATGCTCGGCCTAATTCCGCCACGTTCTCGTCATTAATCAACGCTCCGGCTATATCAACCAACACTTTTTCCTGTAGAGCTGTTCAATCCGTCGGATTATAAGGGAAAAGGGAATTTAAGTATAGTCAGCTTGTGCCTGTACCTTACTCTGACATGAGGCATTTTTGTTACACAATTAAACATTATTATACAGATATCAACCGGAAGTGTGTGTAATATAACATTTCTGGACCACCGCAGGTAGTATTTATCCAAAGGGTTTTCACTTAGGGAAAATTAAATAAGAAGAGAAAATATAACTTATGTGCGGTCCACACATCAGTTTGGAATACATACGAGTGGATGGCTCACAAATTGTTTTCACTTTTCTTAGAACTGAACCTTCTTTAGAACATTAACATCTTGAGGAAACCATACTTGTCTGTTAAATGGACATTTTTGTGAGGGTGTTTCACGTCGTCGTAGGTGACGCTGCGAACTCACTAATTGTCGCGCATAACACATATCGTTATAAGGAAATTAATGATGAACAAACTTGAAATGTCAAACTGTGTCTAATTTGTTTCAAAGACGGCGCGGTCGAATAAAAACAAAATGCGGCCGATCGTTCATACATACATGGGCAAATGGATCGAATGCAGAGGTTAAAAAGTTGTTGGACAAGAAGTTATGATATATTTATATGGTAACGTGTTATACACGACCGCTTGTGGGTTTCTGGAGTAACCTTGTACGGTGCGAAATAGCATCACAGAGACGCAGAAGCGCGATCACTTAATACTGAGTCTTGCTCAAGCTGGTCAAGTTTACCTTCGTTAGGATCGGCGTTCATCAAGTGTGTATCAGCCAGCATGACTAGTCCAGCCTTCTTGAGAGCTTTTGTTAGCCTTTGTAACTGATTGTGTGTCCCAACCTCCCGACTCCAATCACGGAGCATGAACGTCGTTCCTTTAGCTGTTGTCCTGTCCCCTTTCTGGTTTGTGGCGGCATACCGGTTTATCTCCGCAGCGGAAAAGCCCAGTACACGGCCCAATGCTTCCATCTGCTGTTCAGTTTCGATGGCCTCGGCCAGATCACCTAGTGTCCCATCATCTATAATCAAGAAAAATAAATTATTAATAAAACTATTAATTCATTGCGACAGATTATTAATCCTGTACCAAGTTACATGAAGCTTTAATAACAATGCATATCTGTAATCAATGGTATAAAAATCAATTGTA